TGTCTATTTGCATACATTGTCGGGCTCGCAATTTCAATTAGTGTTTCTTACATTAAAAATTCAACTTTTTCTATCATTTCATTTTGTATCGGTTAATAAATAAAAAATTTGTTTGTCGAGAAAATAATTTCGGTTCTTCAATAAATGCAAAGAAAATCACATATCCCTATCTACCGACCAACCGACCGACCGACCATTCAAGATTGAATTTTCCAATATTTCAAATATTTAATTAATAACACCCAGAAATATGCAACGATATATATATATATATATATATATAGATATATATATATAGATTATTAAGAATGAAATTTGATTGCCAGGGTTGCTATAGCAGCTCTGACGTGGGACTACTTAATTTGCTTAACCTCACCTTCAGTGATAGGTTTGAAATTTGCAGAAAAGGAGTAAAATTTCATTATTCTCACGAGACGTTTCAATTCAATATTTTATTTCAACTCGTTGGGATTGCTCGTATCCCAATCAACGCGCTCCTCGTATACTTCCTATTAGTCCTAACTAATTATTAATTATTCAGTTAGCATAAATTAAGTCTAATCAGACCAATGTCAAAAAAATGAGAATTCAAGCTTCCAACGTTTATAAATCGGCCTAACGCCTATCGTTGTCAGTTTATTCAAACGGTTTATTAAAGACACTACATCTAGTCGGCTCCTCTGCGGTTATTTCACTTACGTATGGTTACAGCTAACGACTTTCAATCCAGAAGAAAGAAGATATGCAACCTGCTTCTTCTCGACGCCTTTGTTCGAAATCAAGTTGGCCTTGCCAATCGGTAAATTGATCACATTCGAAGTCGGTCAGTCCTTACTTCATACTACCCACTACTACTAACATACTACATGCACAGTGCTCACTACAATGTAACAAAGGCAAAAAAATAACAAATAATAAAGATATTGTTACGAAACTCGCTTTTCTCTGGATTTTTTTTTTGTTAAGGGAAATACACACAAGACTCTTTTATTTGCAAACAATTTTTTTAAGGGTAGAACTATTCAAAATTTTACTTTTGCAATATTCTCGACTTCTCAACTCTAATATTCTTTTTCGACTCAAATGTTCTTGTCCGACTGACTCTGCCATCCGCAAATAGTCTATTTATGTACACTTTTACATACATATTATTATTATCTAAGTTCATGGCTTCATTTTTAATCCTTTAACCTGCTTTTCCGCTAATCGTTTTCCTCTGCCGGCAGCTGCATGACGCGCCGCGAATGTACACTTTCGGATTTTCCCTCTCTACGGAATTTATTATTTGAGCAAATCAATCAGTTGGAATGAACAGGATTTGGGATTTTCGTAACAATATATATTCTACGCTACATACTTAAGTCAACCTCAACTTAACTACGTATAGAAGACAAACAAACCCAACGACTTTGATTCTTACAATATTTATATGGATAATGAAGCTCCGTTTGTTCGTTTTAGACCATTTATCCGTTTCTTATCTTTTGATGGAAGTACCATAATCGAAAAACTGTTAGAAAGTTCGAAATTTTTGGCATTTTTCCAATTGAATTAGTCTGTCCCTGTGAAGTAATTGAAATTTTGCTATAAAATTCTGGTATACTACTTCCAATAACCTATACCGTAAGCGTCTACTTTGAATTTGACGCAAATACTAATCAGAATTCAATCAATTTTTTGAACTGAAACGCTCAGAATTATTAATACCTTTTTGTTATGTTATATGAGAAAAGGAATTTTAAAAACTTTTTCCAGCAATGATTATTCATTGGCCGACCATAGACTATCAAGCCTTTATATCTAGGTTACTTTACTTGCCGATTGAAGTATGATCGCAGCACTGGCCTTGACGCTTACCGACCGCGTATGCCTCTCTCCACCTGCAGCAGATTCTATCCCTCTTTCTCCGCTTCTTCGTCCCTGAGCATTTTCGCGTTTGGAGATATGAAGAGGAGATTTCTTGAGGGACTGGCTGTAAAAAGAAAAATGTAATCAGTTATACAAGCTACACATACTCCATAATCTGCTCAGTAACTCTTTTATTCCATATCCGCCGAATCCCTTTGTTTTTGTCAATCCATTTGTAATCTCTTTTTATCATTGTTTATAATCTTTGTAGTAAGTTCATAATCCGGTCTTCATTGAATTTCTGTATTTTTCTTAATATTCTTTTCATTTTTTTTTTCATTAAAATTTATTATCTATTTGAACGAGCTTTTATTATTCAAAACTTTTTTAAGCGCTACGAAATAATACTTAACATGGGTGAGATATCACGTGACATAGAACTATAAAGAATATACATTCTTCCTATCTCCCTCGCGATTTGTTGATGGGACCTCAAAAATTCTGTTGATCTACCATACTCTTCAATTTTCAATACTTTCATGTCATGATTCTATCCTTTCTTATGAATAGTGTTATGCCGACTTTCTCACAACCATGTTATGTTAATCGTTAATTTGAATTGCATACTCGATTAACAGTGCGAATGCAAAAAGCTTAGGAGTAATGATATCAAATATTATAAGATATTAGGCAAAGTACTTTCTTGCCCACCCAATGCAAGCTTATATAAAGAAAAATAATAATTTTCTCATTTTTTTTTTTATTTTTATTTTATTTTATTTTTCATTATAAGAGCACTCGATTTAATCAAAAGCATCATATTTGCGTTTAATAAATTTTTAAAAAAGTTAAGCTTTTAATAACCATTAAGTAGACAAAGCAATGTTCTCTAACAATCTGCATAAATATGTAGTAGATTTATTTATTCATATATAGAGCGGGCAAATACTTTAATTTAGTTACATATACCTCTTCTCGCCTTTTTCGACTCTCCATCCTGTTGTTCATCTATTTTAAGTAACACGTTTTCTAGTTTTTTTTGTGTTTTTTTTTTTTATTTTTTTTGTTTTTTTTTTTTGTTTTTCGTTTTTATGATTCATTTCACTCATTTGTGTGCTTTTTTTTTAATTAATACAACACACAATATAACGATAATTACAACAACAAAAGCAATAACAAACCATTAAATAATGTACTCGTTGTATGAAAGCGAGCGCACACATTGTTTAATTTCTTAAAATCGGAAATTCACAATTAACTTAGATTTATGGCGTGCATGTGTATTCGAATGTATTTGTCTGTAAATTTAGATCTCATAAATAAATCTTTATATTATGTGTGGAGCCTTAACACCTACATACATAATCAAAATAAAGGCTCTTCTAATGAATGTACAATATGTTCTCACCAAATTTACAATACAGCAGTAGCTGCTACAGATCTCCGAATGTGATTTTCTTTTTTCTTTCCCTTTTTTTTTTTTTTTTGCAACAAAGAAAAAGGAAGAAAAGAATTTACAAAACCGCAATGAAATAATTATAAAATATTAAACTTAAGTAATTGCCAATTGACTCGCTCTAATTTTACAATCTATATGCAATGCAATTTTAACTTGAATGAGAAAAGGTCATCCAAACTTCAATCTGCTTAGGTTTAGAAAATGTCCTTTATCGCATAATATAAAGTAAAGCGGAAAGTTTTTATATTCCGAGTAGATGACGGAGTCGTGACTACCAAATTGGTGCTTCTGGGTTCAAAACTCGGCATAGTTTCATTGTAGTTCATTGTAGTTGGGCGTAGTTATAGTGAGTACTCAGTTGGCAAAAAGGCATAACACTTCCCGTTTGGATAATCATCCACTTGGCTTCGCTCACTTCCAATCCATCTCTTTCTTTCTTTCTTTCCTCATTTATTTCTGATCATCACCCATTCATACGTATAAAGCATATCTCTTGAGTGAGTAATAGGTCAACTTAAATAAAAAAAAATAAATAAATAAATAAATAAATAAAATAGACGAGTAAGAGGGCCAAGATTCTTCTTTAAATATTCGGCCCTACACGGCCCTCTAGTTAGCCACATAAAGACTTTTCAAAACAAGACGCTACATGGGAAGCGGTCGAAAAGATGCTTTGATACAAACTATTTTTAATAGTGTTCGCCTTTGTCCCCAAAAAAACACGTCAGTATACCAAATTTCATGAAAACGCATCAAAAATGACTAAAGATGCAATTCTTACCCGTAATTTGAAGCCATTGTGGAATGGAAGCGAATCATTCCATTAAAAATGACGATCCAGAAATATGAATCCTGGAAGAGTGGGGATCTGTATCCGATCCGTATATATCGAAGCAGCCGTAAATGGTAAATGGGGATGCACAATTTCTATCCGAGCAGTCCGCCGCAAATGCGGACCCACGATCCCAATCGGATTCACGATACGCTGAATGCAAGAAAGCCAGACAGACAGAGCAGCTTAAGTGGATTCAGAAAGTGAATCTGAATTGATCGCTATAAGGCAAGGTGAACTCATCTCAAATTCTTCTGGGCGTTGCATAACTCTGCGCAAGTTTAATATACCCTTGTACCGCAACTGCTGCACGGTGTAAAGGGAAAGTATTTTCTTTTCATTTATACATTGCATGAAATCCGTAATTGGGTAATGTAGGCGCCATGTTACTTATTAGATTGGATATATATATACATATATACGAATGGCGACTTCGAGCAACGAAGTTATGTTCGTCCTTTGAATCGCGAAATACTTGATATTATCTACTACTTGATCTTATTCTACTCAAATTCAACAAATCAACAACAGGTGACTCAGTCAGTGCTCTGCTATGTAGAAAATTTTGTTTTTTCATCTGATTATTATTATTATTCAGTCAACAATAGTTTTCAAAATGGATGATCACATCGTCAATGGTAATTGTGCCTAGAAAAATTATTGACAATTGTAGAGCTTTAAATTCAAAAAAAAAAAAAACAAAAAAAAATATTTTTCCTAATACCGAACACAATTACGATGCGGATTTGCTTGGGTTATTTTCTGTTTGTAGCCTTGGGTTGTTTTTTAATTTATACCGTATTATCTGGATATATAGAAAATACCAAAAAATTAGAAAAATTGCGCAGAGATGTTAAAGAAATGGCACAAGTAGTATCGGCCAAGCCTGGTACTCAAACTGAATCGCGATTTTTGTCAGAAATTATCGAGAATGCTGTCAAGAAGTGTGTGACAAGCGTCTGGGATGACTTGTATGCGATTAAGAAAGCTATGAAAGCGCAACAATACCCATTTATCGCTTTAAGTAAATCATTATCAAGAATCGAAGAACGTGTAAACTACGCATCCGAAGATTTGGGGGCAAAAGTCATTTCTATAGAAGGGCAACCGGTATGTCCGCCAAACTTTTTAAAAAGATTATTAGGAATGGAATTCGAAACAAATCCACCAGTACAGATGCTTAAGACGGACATGGAGGCCGGAAATTGTTTTGCTTTTCGAAATGATAGTGCGATCGTAACAATTAAATTATCGGAGCCGGTGTTAATCGATCAAATCGGTTTAGAGCACATATCGAAAAAGCATACACCAGGCGAAGATAGCACAGCTGCTCCAAAAGATTTTGCTGTGTTCGCCATCAGCGAAAATCGGGACGAGCTATTGGGCAAATTTCGCTATGGAAACGATCAGAATAAATTGCGACAAACGTTCGCAATTATTCAGCCCATTAAAAAATACGACTTGCTACGATTTCATTTCAACTCTAATCACGGTCATCCCAGATACACTTGTGTTTATCGAATTTTTGTTCATGGAAGAATGTAAAGTTCTAGACTTTTCTTTTCTTTTTTTTTTTTTTGCCTTAGCTCTACCGTTTTAATATTTCTTTATTTATGATGTTTGTTGATTTTTTTTTGGATTTTTTATATTTTTGGAATTTTGTTTTTTCTTATTTCTAGTTTACGAACAAACAAATTTTATTTTGTGGGATATATATTAAGAAATCAAAACAAAAATACGATTTTTGAAATTGTGTTCATAAAATGCAACCAATATTATTAGATTAATAAAATTTTCTATTTTTAAAACCAATCAGACGATACTTTATTAAAAAAAAAAGCCTCTTTTTTTTTTAGGCCTCTCACCTTAAATTCTTTTATTCGTTATCATTATTAACTTTAGCTTTATAGCGTAGCCTTGTTCATATAGCATAGTGTATATATATATATATAAACAAAACATTACTACACGCTCTTCTCTTCTTTTTCCTTTTTTTTTTTTATTTGTTTTGCATATATATTTTATACATAAAAAAGCACTCAGACACTCTTTGAAAAACAGTAAACGCATCAAGATCGCATGCCAAAACCCACATGAAATCAAGCGCAGTACTGAACAGGAAATGACATCAAAATCTTTACAATTATATGATGTTTTATTGCTTACGTTGCGAGTGCTTACTTACCGTTTGCAGTGTAGTGCTTGTATTTGTTCGTTTATTACGTTAATGTTTGTGCATATCGTGTGCATATTGTGAAGCAGTTCATCTATCTATCATCACCACATTCAACCAAACTATTCGTTGAATTTTATCTGCGTTGTTTTATGTATGCTGGTCAGCTACTTAAAGTGTATGCGCTTAATATGGATTTATAGAATACATGACATATAGGTACATGTGTAAATGATTTTCATACGAGTACATGTATTCATCCTATAGATAGATAGATGCTTACTTTAATACATATATTAACAATGAATTTTATGATTTCATCAACACATCGTCATAACTGTCATCGTTTCATTGTTAGGCTGTTAAATTTTTCCCTTTTTTTTTTTTTCTTCATTATTATTATATACCATACTATAAATATATTGTCACTTATATGTTCATTGTCATTTATTCAATAGCAATTCAACTTTTAATATTAAATTACATTTATTATTATTTTTATTTTTTTTTTTTTTTCTTTGTATATATTCACAATTGACTCTATAAAAATTATCATCAACGGAAATTCAAAGGACTGATAAACTTACGAAAGAAAATTAAGTAAACATGACTCATGTGTCAGAAGTTATTATAATTATTGCCGCAAATTTAGGCTGCTCTTGTAAATTGAAATGAATTTTCCGATTATCAGTTCATACTCGTTAATAATTTTAAAACATATTGATCTGTAACATCTATATGCATCTGATAGCATTTTAAAGAGCAAGCAACGAAAGATATAAACAATCGCTGAGCAATGTAAAACTTTTTCCCTGTGTCCAGATTTTTTTAAAAGCAAAAAAAGCATAAAACTGCATATCAAGGCTAGAGTTAACTTGAATTCGCAAGTTCTCTGTGTTACCCGTCAGCAATGTCTAGATTAAGTGCTTTCTTTATCTTGATTGTTCTAGAATACGGAAAAAAATTAAGGAGCGAAAAAACGAATACGTCACGACATACAAGTCATTTCTGAAAATGACACTTGAAGATAGTTCCCTCTCTCAAGCAAATTTCTAATTCCTTATGAATGCCCATTTCGTCCTGAGAGATCCTTAAACTATGATTTAATTTCAAAATTTAACTTATTGTGGCTTGATCCGACCCCAGTGGGCTTCAGATTTATAGGCAAAATTGTCACATTATAAATACTGGGCATAGGACGCTATTAATTTAGCTAAGACACAGGGTCTAGTGTTTGCAAAGCTTGACAATAATGTTTATTACAAATAGGTAGCCATCGAAAAGCAATTAAGAGGACGTAAGTTAACGATGCAAGCGATGCAGGCTATCATAGCATAGCCTTCATAACTGACCGAAGGCGGCTTCTCAACGACGTTAGAATAAGAAATTCTCCTCGAACACTGAATTCGATCCTGTTTGCTCTCCTAGTTTTATGAAAACGTTCTCTCTCTCTCTCTCTCTCTCTCTCTAGCCTAGGAAGCAATTAATAAACGAGGTTTTTCTCACTATCCCTATTCTTCTCGAGTACGTGTAACGATTTTTGTAAAACTTATTAGACGAGGAAGCCAAAGACGAATTTCAAGTTACTGTCATAACAAAAAGTGATTTATTCCCACTCTTTCCAAAAATAAAACTGAAGAGCAGTTTGTCATTCAACAGATCACACTTATGGCAAGCCCACCCTATCTTCACATCATTCGAATATCATGAAACGGTCTTTGCGACGCGTGCATTTTGAGAGAAGCAGACATTTTCCTGACAAGGACCTAAGCGCTGCTCAAGAAGCCGATTTTCTTTATAAAAAAAAGAAAAGAAGAAAACCGCTTATCGAAATCTCTCCTCTGAAACTCTGGTTTCGAACAGACACCAAGCCAACGCAACTTAAATGATCCAAATTTTTTTTTATTATTATATTTTTTGATGGTTTATTGCTAACCTATGTCTGTGATTTTTCCATCTACCATCGCCAGAAATTATGGAAATATTTACATCAACAGTTGCATCTATGGCCACTAAAGAGATCAACACTTCATGCTCATAATTAAAAAAAAAAGGAAAATAAAGACGACATTATCGAATCGGTGCGAGTTCCCTGACGAATATATTTGAAAAAATTCGTCGCATGTCCCAAACTTTGTTGCAAATTTGTAAGAAATAAAACGAACGAAGAATCAGAAAAACGCAAAAAACTTAAAACCCATGATATGTTAATGAAATATTAGATAAGTGTACCCGTTGAGACCCGATTCAGAAGATGATTGCAAGAAGACCATATTAGAATATTTTTGTATTAGCTCCTTCTGATAATCCCCTGATTTAATTTAACCCTGATTTACTTGGCTGTTTATGTGCTCAGTTATTTGGAACTTTGTTCATTAAAAACCACAAGATGCCTAATAAACAACTTGGTGGCAAGTTACTACTATGTTTTTGGCCTTCATCTACACAGAATATTCGATGACATCAACTATCTCATCCTCAATTCCACCGCCAAGAGTCTTTTTCTGATTGTCTTCGCAATAGTACATGATCTGCTTACAACCTTGCGTACCCATGTCCGAGCTACATATGAAGACAATTGATTTTGACACATATTCAATGAAGTTTAGTTGATTGTACTTGTACAACAAAACAGCTCTCTTTAGGCACATCATAGCCGCCAAAAACTCTTCACTCGCAATCTCACGCGAAAGCTTCTTTTTACCAGCACATATTTCGATCCATTTTTATTGGAAATTTATCAAGATCGATGTTTGCTACATCTGGCGCCAGTGCTTCTAACAATATTATGATAAACAGGTGGGCGGAAATGTTTAACAAATACTAACTTCTTTCCCGTCGTGCACCTTGAGTATATCCCAACTATTTTCCTTTCCATTCTGTATGTAATGCAAGAGGAATGGTTTTATGTAGAACGAGTCCGCAGGCAAAGGCACTGCACATATTTTAATGATTTTAACTATATTTTCATCGACTTTACTTATTTGACGACAGATAAAACCAAGGGATCCTAGAGTTTCTTCAAACATCGACAAAGTAAATATGTCAACTCTTTGCTGAAAAGGCTAAAAGCACCTAAATGCAAAGATATTTTCAATTATATAACGAGGGATAGGATTGCCGAGTTTCGGAATAAATATGAAAAAATTCTTTAAACAAAATTTCTACGTTTTTTATGCTATGATGAAAATTGACCTATAATTGTAAGTTGATGTAAAATTTAATTTCTTCTGAATTTTGAACACGTACCTCAATTTTTGAACCTCCCGACAATCATTCTTAAGGAAATTATATCTCTATATTCATCATAGTCAGTTCATATAAGAACAGAGTGTAATTTTTGGTGTTCTATGGCAAAAAATAAAAATTGTATTTGACAGTGTATGTGGTGTAGTGTAAGGTATTTAATAGTCTGCTTAGCTCGATTATAAGGTTTTCACTTGGGAAAATTACGATTAACCCGAAGCTTAACGAGAAATATTATGGACATGAAAAAGTTGAATTCGTTTATGTTCGATGCGGAGGTAACTGACCAGCGTAACTCAGTGTTTATTAGAAATTTAAAATATTTTTACTTGTATTTTCAAGTAGAGTAAGCATATCATGTCATGAGAAAAGTAAAGTGCACAGGTAATGCAGAAACTATTTTCATAAATTGCACCGTGAATGGACACACATTGTTATTCTTCGTTCCGTCCGTGGAATTGAGAATCAGTTGCGTAAAAAACCGCAATATGTTACTAAATAACAAAACCGCATTTTATCTAACCGCAATGGAAACAATGATGATTACACAATACTAAACACACATCACAGTAGTTACTTTTAGTTCTGCTATTATTGTTGTTTCTGCCATTGTTAGCTGGATACTAACAAAATTAAAGTAACATCTATGACAAAAGAGTTCGTTTTTTTTTTTTTTTTTTTTTTAGGAAATAAAAGGACGACATGGATGGATGCAGGTGCACGTCGTCGCAATCATAAACTTGAAAGCGACAACTAAGAGCGCTACACTCAATTATAAGGTAAGTTATATAAAATTTATATAAAAATTTTCATTTTCAAGCGAAATGTTTTGTAACGTAACGCTGAACGCCTCCGATCGATATATGTGTGCTATAGATTTTAGGCAATTGATAAAAATATGTTCAGGGTTTCGCCTTCTGTTTATCAGTTTTATTACAATATATCAGAGTTAAATCTGAACTAAATTCCCTTAGTTATCTGCTGCCCTTTTTATAATTTACAATAAAAGCCGAACAGAAACGTAGGGATGAAGCTGGACTGGTCATTGTTAGTATAAGCGTTTTTAGGCTTATAATCAGGAGATGAAATTATTTTACTTTTATTTATTTGTCGGATATACTTTTAG